GGCAGCAGCCTAATCCTACCAGCTTCCACCCAAACAAACAGGTGTGTCTCTTTTAATATTATTGTTTTCGTCTTTTCAAAGCAATAGTAATTTATTTTAATTTTATTATTAATATTATTTTAATCAACATAGTTAATTGCAAATTGTGTGCTTAAACAGTAGGCCGAGAAGACAAAACTAAAGTAGTTTGTGTCACGTGTCAAAACTTATTTCACGTGAAATGTACAAAAATCGGTTTTACTGACTTAGATGGCCTAAAAGAGACCAGCAAAACATGGAAATATAGCGATTGGAAGTTATCATTGGGTACGTTGCCAGCTGCTGAGTCTAATAATATATTTGACCTACTAAGAGGGCTGACCGAAGAAGTCAGGGAATTGAGGTCCAAACTCCAAGGGATAGACGAACTGAAGGAGATAAAGGAAGCCCTACAGAAGCAGTCGGAACTTTCATTTGAGAACATGGACCGTTTACTAAAAATAGAAACACTCTTAGAGGACCAGAAAACCCATGTTGAAAATTTAACAATTGAAAATAACAGACTAAAAACAAAACTATCCGAGCTTGAAAGCCGACTAAACTTTACAGAACAATGTCAACTGAAAAATACAATCAAAATTAGAGCAATCCCGGAGAAGCCGGGTGAAACTGTGACTGGCACAATTCTTAGCGTTGGAGCGGGTCTAGGCGTCAAGCTGAGTCCGGAAGATCTTGATCACGCCGTGAGACTCAAGCCCAAGCAGGAAGGGACACGAGGCCCAATTATTGCAAGATTCGTTAGACAGACGGTGAAAGAGGAGTTAGTGCGGCAGCGAAGAACAAAGAAAGATTTCTTCACACGACATCTAGGCTGGGGAGAGAATGACTCGCACAGCGTTTATGTAAGTAAAGCCATGGCACCAACCAATAAACACCTCTATTGGTTAGCCAGGCAGAAGAAATTGACTGCAAAAATAAAATATGTTTGGTTTAGTGGAGGTACGATTCGCTGCAGACAGTCAGATGGATACCCACCACCGGTGATTATAGGAAAACCCAGTGACCTGGACGTATTCAGTTGAACGTTATTTACAAGTTACCCTGAGTCTGTATTTAATTTATTTTTTTGTCAGAAATATTTTTACTTTATTTTTTTTATCTTCAGGTTTTTTTTTTTATTTTTAAATAAATGTAGCTTTTTTATATTTTTATTAAAGATTTTTTATTTTTGCATACTACTATTCTCGACAGAAATATTTTGATTTTAATCTTTTTTGTTTACAGCTTTCTTTATTTTTGTATAAATGATTTACAACTTTATTTGGTTATTTACCAATATGTATCAATGTATTTAAGACAAGGGGATATTTAAATTTTCTTAAGCTATAAATTATATTCAACTGAATATTTATTTCGAAATACTGGAAATTCATTGTTTTCATTTGAACTTTTATTTTATGTTGCAATTTTTTTATATTTTATTTTTATTTTTATTATTTTTAAACGGAGTATTTGTTTAAAAAAATGTTATATCCTATCTTTTATCCTCGATCCTTTTCACCAAAACTCTACTATTATGACTAATATTCTGAATTCCTGTCACATCAACGCCCAATCCCTTATTGCACACTACAATGAATTTCAGAAATATTTCCTTGACAATTTTTACCACGTAATTGCAGTATCTGAAATCTGGCTAAAACCTTTTATCCCATCTTCCCAGATTTCCTTACCAAATTACTCGTTCTCATGATATATTGCATCGCACGGGAGGTGGTGTCGGATTATATATCCATGACAGTCTTAAGGCCGAAATCCTTCTACTGTCTCCTTATTATGATTTTCCTCACATAGAATACATGTTCGTTGAAATTTCCTCTCTTTCCTCTCCTCTGTTGTATGCCATAGTTTACCGCCCTCCTCATGTTCCATTTGACAACCTCTTTGAATCTTCCCTTATTAACCTGGTCTCCAACTACACCAATATTATCATCATGAACATGCTTTCATAATCTCCCGAAATACATAAATAAAAATAAAGAGTAATTGAAGAGTCTTGGTAATATATATATATATATATATATATATATATATATATATATATATATGTGTGTGTGTATATATATATATGTGTGTATATATATATATATATATATATATATATATATATATATATATATATATATATAAGTTACTTTCTAATTTTGATCAGTTGATAATAAAAAAATAAATAAAAAAATTTGAGAAAAATAAAGAAAAACGAACTAATAATTTATGTAAATATTTACAGTATTATCTATTTACAATTTTATGGGGATTGGATGGATAAGAAATGATTGAACAGGCGGGATTTAAAGGTAGGAAGGGTATTGGACTGACGGATGTGGGAAGGGATGGAGTTCCATAGGGATGAGGATCGGATAATGAATGATATGTCGAAAGCAGCAGTTCGGTGGGCCCATATGTATAAATCAGAAGACCGGGAACGAGTATTGCGAGAACAAACAGAGGATTTGAATTGAAGGAGCTGGGAGATGTATGAGGGACGGTGGGTTTGGATGACTTGAAAGAGGAAGGATGCCAGGAAATACTTGCAATGGTAGGAAGGATAAAGCCACTTTAACTTTGCATAAAAATGAGAAACAGAGGCGTCCCTTGGGATCCCGAAGATGAATCGCATAAAGCAATTTATCAAACGTTTTAGTTTCGTCTCGAGATCTCCAGAGAGGCCCCCATATACCGTACAGCAATAGTCGAAGTGGGGAAAAATTAATGAAGTGACCAGGAGCCTACAGGTTTCAAGGTGAAATTTGTGGCGGAAGTAGTTTAGGCGTTTTAAGGTGGGAATGGTACGGCGGGAGATGTTGGATACATCGTTTTTCCAAGAAAGCGTTTGATCAAAGATTATTCCAAGGTTTTTGATTGAGGGATAAAATTTGATAAGATTATCTTGTATGAATAGAGTTGGACTATGTGGAACAGTTTTAAGGAGGTGATTGGAGCCTATTAAGATTGCCTTTGTCTAATCCGCATTCAACTTCAACTTGTTTGCTCTTGCCCAGTCACAAATTCTATCCAGGTATTCTTGAAGTTTTTCTGTGGCAGATAATAGGTCGGAGGGCGGAAAGGTCAGGTATATTTGGAAATCATCTGCATAAATATGGTATTGGGAGTGATGGATCAGGAGGGGAAGGTCGTTGATGTAAATAGCAAACAGAGTAGGAGAGAGAGAGAGAGGAACCTTGAGGTACACCACAAGAGAGGGGGAGGGTCTTAAATGGAGGTTGACCTGTGACGAGAACGATTTGAAAGGAAGGATTTGGACCAGTGCAGGGCACTGTTGGATAGAGAAAGTTCGAGCAATTTAGTAAGGAGGATGTTATGGTCAACTGTGTCAAAAGCTTTGGAAAAATCTAGAAGGATGTATCTCTGAGGCTCCTTAGCCCACATTTCTGTCTTCCTGTATTATTCTAAAGGGGCTCATCCCAGAATAAATAAAGCACTATTATTAAAAAAATAACACAAACATTTCATTAACCTACAGATCCATGCATGTTCTTTAATTAGAGAACAAGTTGGTCAGGGGTACGGCCAATATAAACTGCTCAAAAATTAAAAGGGATATTTCAATTTGATTTGCTTTAATCAAAATACCCTACTTTATTTTTGGGTAAACATAAAAAATAAACAAGTATTCCTTTATTTTCAAATGAATTACTAACTAAAGGATAGTCAACATGAAAAATATTCGTTGTGTAAACCAACAATAGTTTTTTATTTTACTCAATTTTAATGGTTAACAGAATATTACTGATAATTTGGTTTAACGATGGATAGATATCATATTGAACCAGAAGTTCACAATATAATTGTGAGAATGAGCCGTCACGGACACAGGCAAGATATCGCCGATGCAGTTGGCGTCTCCCAGATTGTGATGTCCTAGGCTTTAGCCAGATTAATAGAAACCAGAAGTACCAATAGAAGACCTGTTAATCGATCTCAGCACAATACAATACCAAGGGATTTTTATTACTGAATATTTGAAGGCACAGATTTCCATTTTTTTGTTGTTTATCAATATCTTGAAAATCTGAACACATCACATCTGCCCCTTCCCATATTGACTCCAGATCTCAATCCCATTGAACTCATGTGGGATGCATTGTAGAGGTTGTTTGACCACTATCTGCAGCTTCTAAACTATCACCGAATAAGATCAGTATTACCATGTTTACCGTAAGAAAATTCTGTTGAAATCAACGACAAAATAATAAACAGTATGCCTAATAGGTGCAGAGTAGTGCATGACAGAAGATATAACAAATTATTAAATTTTACAAAATTTTTACAATTCACTATCATATTATTTTTTTTAAACATCTTTTCTAAAATTTCCCGAGGTCCAAAGCAATTACATTTGTATTCATTTTCAATGTATTTTATAACAAAAATGAAATAATAATTCTAGGGAAAATAAATCATACATAACTAACAACATCCCTATTCATTTTTGAGCAGATTATAATAATAAGTATTATATATTGGCCATATCACCAACTAATTTCTCAAATTAAAATAACGGTCAATCATCAACATACCATTATGTTTTTTAATTCATTAATAATTCTTATAACAAAACCTTCTTATTCCAATCAAATCCTTACCATAACAAAATAAAAAATTATAATTAAAAAACTTGAAAAATATATAGTTAAAAGTTTCTAGATGCTGCCAATACTTACCTATAGTTGTACAACAAATATAAAAACTAGACACCTGAGTACAGGAATAAAAAGGAACCATTCAAGAAAATCTTTAAAAAGTTTGAAAATTAAGAGTAGAGTTTAAACAACATTATTTATTTATTTATTTATTAGTTACACACATTCCTGGCTCACAACAAATTTGCCATCTATCTCGCTATTCAGCAAATATGATATCAAGGAGAATAAATGATAGCATACAGAGATAAGAACAACATAAAAAAATAACAGTTGACTAGAAACAAAATTTAATACCTGACCCAACATAGGACCTAAAGGAGGTCCTGGAGAAGCCAGACCAGCAGGTATGTTAGTTTTTACTTTATTGCCATGATTAACTTTTACTAAGGACTTTTTAAAATTTTTCACAAGTCTCCCTGCTTTAGACATTTCCAAATTAACGTAGCAAATCAATAACGAATCGTTCATATAACCTCCATATAGATAATGCAAGCTACATAAATCCAAAATATTTATGTTATACAATTTAAGTCATGAGTTCAATTAATTAAAACAGAAAAAAAAGTATAAATGTTTAAGATAAGGATAGAGGTATATCTTCTTTATATTGTACATTTAACAATTGATCGTTGTAGGATAATCTAATAAGAAACTAAACCTTCTTAATCTAGGCTTTATATAGCGAAAACATTTGACTATGGAGGTTATGAACCCTTACAATAGTGTTTACATTAATTGTGAAGATTAAAATGTGATAACAGACTATATACATTTCAACGGGTTATAACAGCATTCACATAGTCCTGGAGTTACTGAGGAGGTTGCATGATGCTTTTGCTTTGTCTGGGTTGTGTTTGAGGTGGATTCTTCACTGAGCCAGTACGTTGGAATTGTACATTGGGTTTCAGTATCCTAGGATAGATCCAATCGAAGTTGATGGTCCACTTGAGGAAGTCAGGCGCCGGGCGATCCAGTTGAGAAAGTTTACTACTACCTTGTCTCCGGCCGGGACCAGACGTCGCGTGAAAACCGTCAATTCTCTTGCATCTGATAGCCTGACTTAAGCGTAGCCTAGATTAGCTTCTATCAGGTCCACTTCTTCAAGAGCAGGCTGTATTTACTGTGTCGCTGAAATTTACTTAAGAGCACTGGTCTCGAGTTCAGGAAACATGCTGTAGTATGGATTATTATTGTTGTTACATATTATTTAAAAAACACGTGAGGTTGTACATTGTTGAAAAATATATTCATTGATTTATTTGGGAACTTACTCAACCTTTGTTTTTCTCTAAACACAATTATTACATGTGGCGACGATGGTGAACAGGCAGAAAAAAAGAAACTCTAGATCAGACAAGAGGTTGGATGAGGAAGTTAATTTTCCTGAGGCCATTGACTCATCGGGTACCAACGAAAACAGGTTAACCCGAAGTAAATATAATATAGAAGAACGAGTAAGTACATTTAAGTTTCCTCCTTATAATATTTCAGAAAAATGGGAATATTATATAGACCGTTTTGAACTTGAGTTAGAAATTAAAAATATAAATAGTAATCATAGAGAAGTCACGACGCAATTTATTGTTAAAATGTGTGGGGGCAGAGTTGTATAAGCTGGTAGCGGATTATTTCCATCCTACAAAAATTACTCAATTACATTATTCTGAGATAAAAACATTTTTAGATACATATCTAAAACCGACCACTAGTTATCTTGCAGAAAGAGTAAAATATGAAGTCAACACCGTACTAGACGTCAACGCGATTACTTCAAATAATTCTCTGTTTTTGATCAAGGTTCAATTAAACGGCAAAAATATTCGAATGGAATATGACAGAGCTGCTGCACGTAGCATTGTTGGAGAAAACGTATGGAAGTATATAGGAAATCCACAACTACAAAAGACCCATAATTTAAGGGCTTATCCCAATTCCTTATTAAATTTGTTGGGGGAATGCTCGATGTCAATTAAAGTAGGAAAGCAAAGGTTAAAATTGAAATTGGTTGTAATTGAAAACGAAGCCAATTGGAGAAAACGAAGATAATTGGATTAAAGCTTTCAAATTATATCCTATGTGTAAACATGTCAAGTTAAGTAATGTTAACAACTCAGAAATTTCAAAAAATTCAGACGAAAACCTCCAACAGGCTAAAAATAAGGTGTTGGAACAACACTCTGAACTTTTCCAAAACGGCATTGGAACAGTGAAGGGATTCCAAGCCAAAATTCAGTTACGCGATGGAGTAACACCAAAACTCTTTAAAGCTCGAAGTGTTCCGTTTGCTTTAAAAAGAGCAGCCGATCACGAAATAGACACGCTTATTCACGAAGGAGTAATAGAAAAAGTGGACCCATTAAAGACAATGGTAGAATGGGCATCGCCAGTAGTTTTTGTGCCAAAAGCGGATTGGGCAGTGAGGTTATGTGGTGATTTTAGAGTTACCATTAATCCTCATATGATTGTGAATCCCCACCCTTTCCCAACATTTGAAGAAATAGTTCACAAACTTAGCGGGTTCCAGGAGTTTTGTGTTATCGACCTCAAAGATGCTTATTTGCAGATGGAAATAAGCGAAGAGACAAAAAAATATCTGGTTATTGCAACACATCGAGGATATTTCATGTACAAAAGAATGCTGTTCGGTATAAGTGCGGCCCCATCAATATTTCAAGGGTATATGGATAAAATTTTGCAATGCATGGAAGGGGTAGTCTGGTTTTTAGACGACATAGCCACAGGAGGAAAATCTCGAGAAGAACATTTACATCGCGTTAATCTGGTTTTAGAAAAAATGAAATCAGTGGGGTTGAAAACTCAGCCAAAGAAAGTAAAGCTGTTTGAAAAAGAAATTAAATACCTTGGCCACAGAATCAACAGTAACGGGATTCAACCGTCTCATGAAGGGATTGCGGCTCTAAATGAAATAGCATCTCCAAAGAATGTTAAAGAACTGCGTTCTCTATTAGGCTCTCTAAATTACTATTCAAGATTTATTCCGGATTTGCAAGGGAGATGTGCTCCTTTAAGATGTCCTCGTTTAAAACCATCCGTGAGAGATAAGATGGAAGAAAGCAGGCTAAAACAAAAAATGTACCACGATAGAAAGGGACAAGAACGCAGTTTCGAAGAAAGTGAGCAAGTTTGGATAAAACGTAAGGAAACAGAAGGATGTGTAAAAGGCATTGTGATTTAAAAAAAAAGGGCCTCCCTCTTATGACATTGAAACGAGCGGGAAGCTAATGCGATGCCATGCTGATCATATGAGGAAGCGATCAGAAAGAAGGGGGGAATAATGTAGTATGGATTATTATTGTTGTTACATATTATTTAAAAAACACGTGAGGTTGTACATTGTTGAAAAATATATTCATTGATTTATTTGGGAACTTACTCAACCTTCGTTTTTGTCTAAACACAATCATTACACATGCCGAGACGAAAGTGCGCTCATGTTGAGTTGCATTTGTTCTGCGCATGCGCTAGCCTTTAGCGAATGACTAAGGTCAATGACCTTAATTCCTAACGAAGAAGGATAATTGAATCTTGTAAAACAATAACACATATCCAGTGCCGTTCTGCCACTTCTACTGTTGAAGAATGATGCCGAGCCTGTCTTAATGCTCAAGGAAATCACTTTGAACAAAATTTAATATGAATGTTAATGTTTAATAATAATAAAGGCCCACAAGGGCAACTGATGAACGCAGTTGTTGTGGTATTACGCTCATCCGGGTTCCTGAGTACCATTCACAAACTCACACATTACAGTACACAATAACATAAGCATCAACACTTGGGTATTTTCAGTACAAACCCTAGGGCAACCTTACCTAGGGAAGGCCTGGCAGAAGGTTTAAAATGCATTCACCCATCAAAAATGGAGTTAAGAAATCGACGTATAGCCTCGGACGAGCCTGGGAATGAAGCTGCACCAAGCGGAAACCTTCGACAGCTTCCTTCGGGTAATGGCGGAGCAAGTGGCGCCTCACTGTCGCAATGGACCACAAGACTGCAAGAACCGACAACTAGTTCGAGTTTGGGCTTGGGCGAGACTATATCTCCTTCCGCACGAACCAGACAACAGGGACCAAGAGGTGCTCGAAAGATGAAAAGGACGCCAGAAATGAACAAGGCAGTCATCCAGGTATATCTTTTGACAACACAATTAGAAACAGACAAGACAGGATACCTCAGCAGGATTCAACAGTATTGGCAAGAATTATATCCACAGATGACTAGAAGTACACAAGCACTCAGTGATCAGGTTAGAGTAATCCGATTGAGAAAATTTCTCACCGCAGTGGAAATGGGTAATATAAAAGCAATCGTATCGGAACGACTAGGGATAATAGCTGCTGAGAATGAAGAGCGACCAACTGATGCTATAGAACTCATAGAAAGATCGTTGGAGATGGAGGCAGTTTCTTCAGTAGAAGAAAACAAAGAGGTACAAAAACTGACACTGTCACTGTTATCCCAGCATATGCTTTATGAAGGAATACCACATGATGTTAGACCCACCCTATCAAGGATTCCTTACAACTTTAGATCCCGGATGACTGTGAAAAACATTAATGAAGCTTTAAGTAAACTTATTATTGACTACACTGAAATGGACATTGAAGCTGTTTGTCATTGGGTTTATGTTGCAGCTAGAGTTATTATTATCGAACTAGGTTTATGAGAAGATAAACCAAAGAAAGATAATGGCAATATGAAACTCTCACGTTGGCAGAGAAGATTAGAGAATAAAATAACTTCGCTAAGTTCAAGTATTGGGGTAATTACAAGCTATATTAGAAATCCGGCTGAAGCAAGTAAAAAACTAAAAAGAAGGATTGATGAAATAGTTGTACTACAAATAAGAATGGTATTAGAATCATAGCTCACCTAAAAACTTGTTTTACATGCTGATCTACTAAGGCAAAAACTTGCAGTTTACGCAAAAAGAATACGGCGCTATTAAACGTCGATGCTCCGTAAACAGCAGAACAAAAGATTCACAAACAGTGAGAAGCAGTTCTATCGGAACTTGGATGAAAATAAAAAGGGAGTTGTAAATTTCTCGTTAACCGATAATATAAACGACTATTGGAAGAAGCTTTGGGAGGACAATGTAGATCACAATGACGAAATATACTGGCTAAAATCAGTGAACAGGGAATTTCAGGAGGCACCTCAAATGCCTGATTTTGATGTTTCAATAGAAGAAGTAGTCATCGCAATAAAGAAAATGAAAAAGTGGAAAGCTCCGGGCAGTGATAAAATTCAAAATTATTGGTTGAAAAACCTAACCTGTTTGCACGAAATACTTGCAATGAACTATAAAAAAATGATGAGAGGACAAATAGGCATACACGTTCTGTCAGGGTGTTACCGTTCTGATTCCTAAAAAACAGAGAGACCTATTGGAACCACAAGACTTCAGGCCAATCATTTGTCTCAACGGAGTTTATAAGATTTTAACATCCATTCTATCAAGTATGATTGAATGTCACCTACGATCCAATAATTTGATCCCAACAAAG